AAACAAAGAGACTTCACGTAATGAGGTTTTTCCAGAACTAACTCTTGAGCAATCATACCGCCCATGGAAATACCAATTACATGAATATTTTGAGTCCAACCAAGATAATTCAAGAGATCAATTGCATCATGAGCCATTTGCTTTGTACTTATGTATTGGAAATTAAAATAAAATTATCAGATTTATCGAATAATAGGGTTATGCTTGTTACATGTCCATTTACCTGTACAATCCATATGGCGCATCTTTAATGAATAAATTTATTCTAGGTTAGAATATTATAAAGTAATATTTATAAAATTTCAAGTTTAATTACAGACCCGAGAATCCCACACCGCGATTATCAAAAATGCAAACCTGGTAATCTGGATGGCCGCCAAAGTGTCTTGCCTGAAATATTATTCATGAAGCCGTAAATAATTAGACCGAATATTAAACCAACTCATTAATTAAATATAATAAAAATATATATATATAGTATAGAATTAATTGGTATAATATTGTTACCTGGTTGTCCCAGCCTCCAGAAGTGGTGTTTAAACCTTTCAATTAAAATAATATTGGGGATTATATTTTTTCGAATCGATTAAAGAAAAGAAATAAAAATTACCCATAATAAAGAACAATTTATTAGGTCCATGACCATGCAATTCGTAATAAATATTTAGATTTTCTGTTCCATCATTACGATGTTTGCCGCCAACTTTTGCATGACTACTTTTTACTAATGTCATCTTAATCGTTGAATGATAATCAGCAAATTATAGTATATTTATGGTAGCATTTATTACAATCAAAAACGCGCCATATTTCTAGGGTCCACCCTGTTAATTAAAAGACCATGTATAACAATAAACATGCATCTTACCTCCCAAAAAGTATTCTTGCACGAAATGACCGCGGTCGAACCAAAAACCGACTGTCCTCACATTAAATCTGATATCCTTGATAACTGGCGTAGAGAAATCGTTGATGGTAAGAAACTGTTGAGAAGATTTACAATCTACATATTAAATTCCATTTTATAGTTAGTAAGCCTTGCTTCACTTGTCACGATGTGAGTGAGAACTGGCGATGTTTGGAGTGCAATATTGTTCTTTGCTCTAGGTAAAGACTGCAATATTTAACACAACGTACGTCTTAATTCTTATTTCAAGTTGATAATATAACTCTAGCTATGTTAATGGTCATATGAGGGAGCATAATCAACAAACCGGACATCCATTGGTAATTTCTTTCAGCGACCTTTCTTTTTGGTGCTATTCCTGTGATGAATACGTGATTAGTCCGGTTAGATATCGTTGTAATTTGATAAATTTTATCTGAACGTCAAAAGTTCGTATTCACATTGTTACATCTCTTAGGTTCTTCACCCCATTAAAGTTTCCGTTTACGTAGCCAAGTTCGGGGAACTTCCCCCGGATTATCATGATGCTTCAATCACCAATGGAGATGACGTGGGTGGAGAAGGAAGCTCGGCTAATCCTTCATGAAAGTTTTTCAAGCTATAACGTACCCTCTATAACAATTGTTGTGAAAATGTGTATATATTTTGTATGATAGTATATGATATTTTAAATAAAAAGATATATTTGTTTTTTTTTAATAATTTAATTATTATAGGTTACGTAACAACTTAAAGAATTAAATAGTTTTTGTTTTAAAAGAAAATATTTCTTATAAAACAGTTACCGTGTATAAAGTAGAGAGACCTCCCTAAATGCATTTACTATGTTTTCTCTCTCTAAATGTACACCTTTAGAAATGCACATTTCTTAAAATTTTCCTATGGTTCTGAGGGGTGTGCATTTAGAGAAGGTTCACTATATATTTTTAACAATGCTACTACTGTATTTAACAATATATGAAATATCTAATGGTGCATTAAGCATTATGATTTAATACTAGCCTATTAATTAATTTTTTATATTTTTTATAATATAAAATATATTTATAAAGTTGATATATAAAAATTATTTTTCTTATTAGTTAAATAAGTATAAATAAATCTTTAAAATCAAAATTAGAAATCAAAATTAATAATTAAAATTAAAATTAAAATTTTTTTTTTGAATTCTATAATATTTTATATAATTAATTTTTAAAATATAATAATTATGAATCAATTATAGACCTGTAGATCAATAGCACAGTGAGTAGTTGCTCTCAGATCTCCAAATACATATTTTTAGTTTAATATTTACAGGAGATAAAATATATAAAATTATTCTTTATTTGTGAATTTATTGATTTTTTTATAAATATTATACTCAAATATTTGAATTTTAATTAAATTAAATTTGACTATATAAAATTAAAACCTTTGATCTTTCTAACAATCATAGATTGAAAACAGGTTGAAACAAAAAAGATTATACAAAAAAGGTTTTTGGTCTAACTTTAATAAAAACCTACAATTCTTTCTGGTATGACAAACTTTATAATATAAAGAATACTTTAGTTTGAAGCTATTCTAATTTAATGCTTGCTTAAAAAAAAGAACCCAATAAAAAGAGAAATCTGAAGCTATAGGTGATGACAACAAGTACAATATCTTCTTCAAGATTTTAAGTAAAAAATATTAAATGGGTTATCCAAGTGTTCTAATCAATTCTAAAAAATACATGTTCCAAATAACAACTACCAGAATCTAGATTAGGTTAAATGGTTTAAAACTAGTAATAAGATTTCCATCCCCTAAAGATCTCACTCAGTATATTGATTCACCCCAGCAGTGAGAAATTGGTATAACTGGATAAGGTTATAGGTAGGAGAGTAGGTTAACTTAAATGAACCTTATACTCATGTAATTGAATATAAATAACTCAATAAAAATATGTGTGATACTAACACTCTTTACCTAAAAAAATATATATATACAGTATAACTTTAATTTTTTAAATTATTCTTCTTAATAATTTATTAAAAAAATATTCATGTATAATAAATATTAAATTTTATCAAAACTATTATTGACCTTCAGCACTGTCTAAAGTAAATAAATGCTATTCTTTCAATAAATTCGAAAATGTAATGAAACATGCAAATTTTTAATTATCTACAATCCAAGCGTTTCAAAGTGTCCTTTTAATTTCAAATGAATTCTTGGACAAACTCGAATAAACGAAATAAAGTACAATTTTTGTTGTTATCGTGAGATTACTCAGTACATTTATATTGGCGAACTAAATGAATCTTTTGAACCTCCAATGTAAGTCTAATTTCTTGGTGGTATCCTTCAATTCTATCCTTCATGGCCTTATATTCGGATTCAATTTCGGATTTTTCTTTATTCCATGCTTGAACCAAATCCGCACACTGTTTCATCACGAGTGTTCAAATCGAATCAAAAGTTAATTTACTTTAAGTTCATGGTATACGTGATATTTAAAAAAACATACCTTTGTGAGTGTTTCATTATATATAGTCTTTTCGTCAGCGGCTTTCTTTTCGATTTCTTTGCGTTCTTCAAGAATTTGTTCATACTCAGCCTGTAGGGCGGTATATTTCTTTTCAGCCTCAGACATTCTTTGCTTATGTTTTTCCCTTAAGCGTTGAGTTCTCTCTTCTAGACTTTGCTTTTGCCGACTTATGATCTTTGAGATGATTAGAATCAGGATTACCAATTATTTCAAAGAAGTATAAGAATATACTAAAGGAAACATACCTGTTCTTTCTTAAGTAACTCTCTGGAAAATTGTCGCTTATTTTCAACTTCTGCCTGGATATCTCTAAAGTCTTTATTTGCCTTTTCGGTCTTATTTCTCTGATTTATTACCTCATCTAGCAGTTTGTTGCAAGCAACAATTTCCTAAAAAAAAATTTAATCCTTAGATTAGTGAATTCACTGGAAGAATTTCAATTGCAGAGATAGAAATTTCAGGATACCTCTTCGACGATAGTTAACATATCAAATTTCGTT